GAGGCACCCTTGGCAGCTGTTATTTTCATTGCTGGGGAGAATAAATCCTGAAGAAGTCAACAAGGAGGGGAAGGGATTATCTAGTGTTTTTCCTCTGTAGTGAATTTTCATTGAGGGCTACACAGGCCACAAATTCTTCTCTATAAAGAGCTGCTTTGAAAGGGGACCTGACAGAATGTCAGCTAGTCATTGGCTAGTACTGGGGAGGATGGACAGTCTATCAGGTGACAGTGCCAGGAAAACAGCTGGTGGTGATGACCAGCTAAGGTAAGTAGCATAAATTAGTGGAGACTTCTGACTACATTAGAGGATGTTGGAGGAATTTCCTTAAGCTGGGAGGGGGGAGCTGTAATCACTTTAATGAAAGGATACACTACTGATATACATAACCTTCTTAAGAAGGTGATTAACTTTCTCAACAGCTGAACTCATCCATGCTGGGACAATGCACTGTACGTCGAGTGTAAGACAGTGCCTGTAACTTACTATTCACTGACAGAAGGCACCTGGGCCAGGACCAAGGCTGGTATGCCTTGCAGCTACTGGGTTTGCTTCCTGTCACCCACTCATGTTCCAAGTTCACCCTCCTTCATGTTTCATCTTCCTCTTCTGTAAATTTTGAGATACCCATCTTTTCTGAGTGCGTGGATGGTACAGTTTATCTTGGTAGGATTCTGAGCGGGAGTTCAAACTGATGGTGTTTTTTTAGGGACTTAAATAAACAGAACCCTTCTGCCAGTCAATGCTGGGAATAAGAGCTATGCATATTCTACAGCTGTCCTTATTTAAGATTATCTGTACAAGGAGAAAAAGCATAGTATAAATTTGGCTGCAGTTTTTATGTCAAGGAGTGAACAACTAAATAATTAAATTGGAAAAACTGTTCATCATTTGGACAAAAATGCAATTTCTTCTACCCGCTTCCACAGCTGTCCCCACTCCCCACCAGGAATAGTGTTCCAGGGAAATTCTTCATACAAAAAATAGATAAGGAATAAAAACAAAGCAGAGGCAGAAGGAAGAGTTCTTAAAATTATCTTCTCTTTTTCTGAGAGCAAGAAGATTAGTGGAATAAACATGATTTCAAGCCACTTGAGAATCTTTACTAATGTTTCAGAGATGCAGCAGTCTAAGTTATTATAACATTGTAGTATTCTACTTGTATGCAGTGAGGTTTTTCTGGTAAGAGCTGTTAGACCATAGAGCGCTGTGATTTTCTGAGAAAGGTACATTTTCAAGATCTGCTGGTCAGAATATGTTCCTTTCGAAAATGAGGGTCCATTTTTTGACAAAGCCTCTTTAAGTTACTCTGTTTTCTTTCTTATTGCTTGCATAAATTCAGAAATTAGTTCAGGACTTCTGCTGAAGAGTCTTTGCTTAAAAAAAAAATCAGATTCAGATGTTTTATTCATCAACTATTGCTTATTTTACATTAAATTTTATATCCTGTTTTGTACTCTGAATACATTGGAAAACTGATACAATATTCCAGACTATTTTGGCAACATAGGAACACCTTTTTTGCTTGCGGTCCATGTTTTTTTACTATTTCTTATAATGGTCAATGACATTCATATTCGGTTTGCTCCTAAAATGTGTAATATCCACATTTCTGGCTGTCTTTCTGGTAAGTGCTCCATGTTAAGCAAATTCTCAGGTCTCCATTTAGTTGGGTTCCATGTTATCTCAATGAGATTGACAATCTGATTAAATTTTGGCAGAAGCACTTCATACTGGCAAAAATCACCACAGACCCTACCTTATTAAAGAGAAAAATAGCCATTCTTTCTGGCTAATTGACTGGCTTTTGTAAAGGCATCAAAGGACATCTTAATTTGCTTGTGGGATAGATGACTAATAGAGGGATACATTTCATCCACCATGAAAACTACAGTATGAGACTTCATTGTTTTCTCTGGAAAAAATTGTGATGTAATTTCAGTACTTACTGAAATGGAAGATGATCATTAAAAATCTGAGTCTTGCTTCAAAGCTTTCAAGCCTTAAAGTCAAGTTAATATTTTCTGTAAAAGTGAAGAGTCAATAATATATAAAGCAGCTTGCATTTAATTTACATAATGTAAAAGAATACTTCAGAGCAATGCATGGTTTTCTAAGAATATGAAAATCATATGGCTTTGTTTGGTGAAGCCTAACAACATATATTAAAAAGCCTAGTAATCCTTGTTACAGAACTATATTGTCTTTAAGGGACATTGTAAGCTCAAATATTGTAAAAGGTGGTATTTGATAATGTCTCATAACAGGTTGAGTAAACAATGAAGACTCATAGGGTAGTTTTCATTGTGAGAGATGGAATATGCAGAATACTTTCTGCATATTCATGGCTGTCCCATGAATCTATCAGAACAAAATGAAATTACTTAAGAGGAAGCAGCTGAGCTTAAGAAAACAGGAAAATTCATGGTCATTTTCTTCATTCTTTAGCAACACCTAATTCTCTTCTGGTCTTTCAGACTGTATCCAGACTTACTACCTACTGGTGCCTGGCATTCCAGGTAGGCCAGCAGGAAAATAAGTCTAGTAACTGATGGCCAGTAGCTAGTACTTTAGTCTGATTTTGCTCTTACTGTAAGACCTTGCTCTTGAAACATTATATTCTTGAAATTTTAAACCTAAGGCAGGCAAAAGGAGGACATGCGGGAGGTGGGAAATGAAACTTCCATTTAGTCTGATGGTTGCTGTGGCAGTTCATGCTAGAGATCCTAACTTCAAAGTAAATTTAAAAAAGGAAACCAAGCAGACCAAAGCAGCCTTATATGGGGTCTGAGGTGATTTTGAGTGGAATTCAGTCCTACAGTTTGGAGACCAAGTTTTCCATAGTACCACATACTGTCTTGTGAATGGATTTATTAGGGGACTGAAAATGAATATGGTCCCCGGTGCACTTGAAACTGCTTATATCTGGTGACACAACTGCAGGAATTCAGAACAGCAGCATTCAACTAGGGTTCACTTTATAACTCATGAGTTATTTGTCAGTCACTAGACAGATATATTTTCAACACTTTCAAAGTCACAAATATTTTCTCTTCCAGTAATTTAACAGCTACAAACAAGTGCTGAATGAGCATTAGTGTGAAGAGGCTAAGAGGATTTATCTGAGGGACCAGGGAAATTTTTACATGGCTTGGGACTTAACAGAGCATGCATTTGCTTTGGAGTGCAAGAAAAAAAAGCAAAGCTAGTACAGAAATGCAAGAAACAGAAATGCAGAAGTGTAGCAAATGGTGTGTCTGAAGGAAAGTAGAAGTTGAGTTGTTTAGTTTAATGAGAAGGATGAGGCAAGGTGTGAAAACTGGCTTCACATTTATAAAACTACAAAGCTACAAAGGGCAATTTGTTCTTTGCATCTGTGAAGAACGTAACAATAAAGCTAACTGCTTTAACTCCAGCAAGGAATATGTAGGTAGCATATACATTCTGCATTTCTTCCTGTCAGTCATTTGTCAATCTGACTGCACCCACAATAAAGGTATTAAGTTGCTGTTGAAGGCATTTCATTTATGCATATTAAACTGTACCATTCTCAAAGCAATTCTCTTGGGAAAACTTGGTTCTCTTTCCACTAAGAGCACTGGAAATATTGCCAAAATTAGACAACTAATGGTAAAACATAGCCCTGTATGGATAGATAGAACAAAGCCTATATGATACTTAAGTCTCACTTTAATCAACAGAACAAGATTTCTGTGAAGGGTAAAACCATATTCTGGAGCCATGAGTCAGTAATATTTAAATTCCCATAAATGAGGATGTGATGTCTGTACATTTCAGCTGTGATCAATTCAGTGTGATACATACAGCAAAAGTAATAATTTCTCCCTTGAATGAATTCAATGTTAAATATTCTGACACATGATTAGATACTTGGAAAACTGCAGAACTATCCAAAGCCTGTGTAAAATCTGTTTGGAATCTTATTGTTTGTTGAGGGTACCTTCCAGGGAACAATTACAGAAAGTTTGTGAAATGTATGTAAATAGTGACCAATTCCTTTAATTCAAAGGGTGACAAATGTTCTACTTTGAGGACTTTGTGTGACTGAGAGGGCCACATCACTGGAAGATAGCCAGCATCCCTCTCACTCCTTTCTCATTAATTCAGAAAGATCACTGTACCATGAGAATAAAAAAATTGAAATATCATGTTCTTAAATAATGTTTATGCATTTGTGGGGGAGAAAGATGTTGAGGATAAATCAGTTTTGTATAGAAAAGCTACAAATAGATTGCTTGGGGAACTGAATGATAAATATCATAACGTATGGCATACCAAGCAAAATACCTGCATGAATGTATGAAATATCTGTATAACGACTAGAACATCAAACAAATCTGAACCTACCTCTTCATCATCTGTGAAAACTTTCATGTATTTTCATGAGAAAATGTCATGATATCTTTCTGAGCTAATACAGCACTGGTTCATCACCCTGTAAGATGATATGAGTCTAGGATTCAGTGTGTCTATGATAAATTACTTAACTGCACTTGGTAATGCTCTTATCTCGTGCTCTACTCTTCCAGATAGCAAATAAATTGAACGTTTTCTTGTGTGAATGGTGGTGTTACACTTCTGTTGTACAAACATCCTGCTGATGTCCATTAACCTCTGTTTGTTGAACTGCAAAAACTGCTTGTTCTGAAAAATGAAATAAGAAAGCCTAACTTGAGTGTTGGATACCATCATAGTGGAATTAACATGCTCTTGGAGACAACATGACTTACTTCAGTTCTCAAGATATAGAGCTTTTTTTCCTGCCCTTTGTGTAGGCAGGATTGACCCTGTTTTGTTTCATGTTTTGTTCTATCTTTTTTCTGGAGATGATGCCCAAAACCTGCAATTTCCTCAGAACACTGCATCTGCTGGGCAGGCTTTTCCCAGGTTATAGACTAGAACAATTATTTTATCTGCAAAATGGATAAAAAATATTGTTAATACAATATTTTGTCACTTCTTTTGTTTCTGCTTTCCAGGATTACTTACTGCCATCTACCTTTCCAGAGTAAATGGCTTTATGTTGGAACAGAGAGGGGAAATACACACATTGTAAATATTGAGTCCTTTATTCTTTCTGGATATGTTATCATGTGGAACAAGGCAATAGAACTGTAAGTGCCGACTTTTTTGCATTTGTGTCTGTAGTCATTTTCCTAGCTGTCTTAAGATCTGCTTTTAAGAATAATTTCTTTTTTACAAATATTAACAAATCTTTTGAAAGCCTTTTATTTTAACGATGCACATGCAGTATTAACTGTTTTGTTACAGGACATTAGGAATTCAGGTTTGTGATAAAGACCATGTAATTATATATTATAGAAAAGAATTGGCAATCTGTCTTACTGTGAAGTTCCATGAAATACACATATCCATTAATCTCACAGATTCAGATTTTGCTGTTTTTTGTAAGGGTAGTTTGATCACCGTCTCCTCCAAACATCCTATAAAGAGAATAATAGAATATATTGGCCCTAAAACTCTATGGAGAACTTTTCTTCAAAGAAATGTAGAATCATTTGGGTGAAACTGGACTGGAGGTCTCTAGGCCAAGCCTCCTGCTCAACACAGGGCTAATTTCAAAGTTAAATCAGGTTCATCAAAACCTGATGAAGTCATAGGAAAGTGACTGAGTGTCTGTTAAATGGCAGTTCTCTGACAGGCTAACCCAGGTGCCTGTGTCATGGATATGAAGGAGGGAGACATAAAAATCTGAGCTGGATAAATCTCTGCTTCTTGCAAGTAGAAGCCTCAGCAGAAACAAAACATTTGTTCTGGGCTCTTTCCCCTGTGAGGTTCCAGCAAAAGGAACTACTGTGGGCAAACTTGTAGTATTTCATATAGTTTCTGAGACATCTTCTTCATGTTGTGAGGTACCTGTAAGCTCTGGTAGTAAACTGAAACTCACCAAGCTCAATGAACCAAGACAGTATCCATGAATAGGAGCACAAGCCTACAGTGGTGGATCTAATTCTCTGCCCCAAGCTGAGATCACATTGATAGCAGACTTTTTTCTCCAAAATTCTCTCCTTTCCCCCCCCAGTATTATGACTGACTTTCACTAATCACTGTGTCCCCCAGGTTGACAAAACTCATGCCTCATTTTCTTTCCTCCTCTCTACCCCCATCAAACTTCATCTGCACAATCATAAGAATCAAATTTCATCTTCAAAGGAGATAAACCCAAGGTTTCAAATGGTAATCAGCATCCAGTCTACTAGGAAATCTTTTATCCAGTTCTCCATTTTGGAATGTTTGTTTGTGCTGCCTTTGTAAGGCTTTGCTCGGGAGTTTGGCTGAAAAATTACTGATGGAAAATGTGGTTTTATCAAAAGCAGAATGAATATCTTCACTTTGATGGGTTCTTCAGGTGAAAGGTATCTCAATTATTTTCTCCTTCTCACTCTGTTTTGGTGATGTTGACATCTTAAATGGTTTTTTGATTCCTGTATTTTAAAATCGTTTATATACTGTATTGAGTGGATAATGTCTGTGAGGTTTTGAGAACATTTTGTGCGCACTTGGAATTTTCTTTCCTCCAGATATTAGGATATTTTTATTGTGCATGGAAATAAACCTGTAAGGTTTTTATGAAGTAGAAGCCTTCCACCAAGTTTCACTTCCTAATTCTATCAAAATTCTTCTGGATAATTTTTGGTTTTAGTGGCCACAACAACCTCTTTAATGAGAACAGAATAGAACAGTGCCTCTCTTCAATGAAATGTATGTGGGAAAGAAGAGCTGCTTACTAACAACCTCCTTGCATTAAGATCAGCTATGTGACTGGATTCTTCAGGGCTTTTTTTGTTCAGAGGGCTGGTTGATGTTAGGTACTTTCAAAGAGAAAAGAAAATAGGGAAAAGTATGTAAATAAAACTTCAGGAACACCTTCAGCCTTAGCATGAACAATGGTAATAGTGCTCATAACATTGTTTTTCATTCAGAGATAGTTTATCTCATTTCAGAATATGGGATTAATTTGAAGATGTTACTATTCTCTATGAAGCTTGGAAGGAGAGAGAGTTTACCTTTTGTGCAAGCATATTTGTGTCAAACTTACTGGCAAAGAAAGATCTGTAGAAGTGATTGCTCTGCTGCTATATTGAAGTCTTCAGTTTAGAAGGAGGATATAAAAATAGAATTTTGGGTGTGTCAGGTTTGTGTGTCATCTGCACAAACAAGTTCTTCCCTTTTCGCGCAACTCTCATCTAGCTTGTAAAATTGCAGACTAAGTCTGCCAACACAACTTGACTTTCTTTCAAAATCCCTCCTCATTTTCTTCTCTCACTCACCCCTACTTCTAAGTAAATCTCAGTGAATTGTCATAACTTGATTTTAACTCAGTTGTCACCAAGATTTCAAGGCTTTACAGTAAAAACCGATAGGAGATTGAACTGGTTCATTTTTTATAAACCTGGAATATTTTGACTTTGGAATATTAAACTGAATATTACCACATTGAAGTCACTGTAAAGCCAAATTACAGCTCATTTTGTGAGTAAAACATGGTTGAAGAGGGCTTCCATATACATTGCTAAAACACTATAGCCAAAGTAACCTGAAGAGGTCAGAATACCTGTGTTATAAAGGACCTGTGTCCTTTATAAATCACGTGCACTCTCTAAGTTTCAGTGGACCTGGCCTTGTCCAGAGCTGAGAGAAAACATTAGAATATGGGCAGTTTTAGAAACATTTTGTCTAGCAATCTTGTCACAGCCACTTCTGCCATCTCAGGCACTGTCACTACCTCAGACCACACTGAAGCATCTTGTCAGCTAAGAATGAAGAATGACTCCAAACCTTTTCACCTGTCATTTCTCTGTCATGTAGCAGAGCTAGTCCTTTGCCAGCCATGTTTGATGCTCATTATACGGTTTGGTTTTCTACTCTCTGATAAGCAAACAGTTTCTCTCTTTTCCTTAAAAATGTTTGGAAACAGGTCTGGAAGTCAAAAATAGTCAGTAAGGCCAGCATGTTTCCATTTATTCCAACTACAGTGAGATTAATTTTCTCAGCTTGCAGGCTCATACATTTTGGAAGGTCATCTGGTGTTGGGAAGTAAAAGAAAGATCTTGATATGAATCTGCTGAACTCCAAAAATGTGAAAAATGCATTGCAAGCACCCTTCACAAGCATGCAGATTCCAGTGGTTGAACACCCATTCTTTTTAACTTCACTGTGATTATACCAATGAAAAGACAGTCTTAAAATCTGTGGTGCACTGCACCTTTGTGGAAAGCAGAACTGTGGAAGATGTCTGGCTACCGGCACTACAAAAGTATCTGCTTATGCACATGCTTTTCTTAGGACTGTCACATTCAGTCAACTCCAAGTCTGTAACAATGACTAAGATAGATGGGTTTGGGGTTTTTTTTTTCCTCTCTCCTAACTCCTCCTGTCACTTTCTACCACCAGGTTTTCATTCTGCTCTGAAATCATTACAGTGCTTCTGGACCTGGGCAGGCTACTTTTTTTTCAGAAGGAAGATGTTTTCTCTTGATTTCATTCGATTTTGTCATACATTACTTTTACCTGCTTTAAGATTGTCTTGGTATTTGAAGTACTTACGACAGTGTATAAGTCACTCTGTTTCTTAGAGTGCATAAAACACTCCCAGAATGGTGGAGGAATCCACCATCTATGTATTTTCCACATTTTCCAGGGTCCAAACTCTAACATTGCTGAAGACTTCTTTATGAGTTTTCTAGTTTTAGAATGTCATGGTTTAAGCCCAGCCGGCAACTTGGAACCACGCAGCCGCTCGCTCACTCCCCCTCCCTCTTCCTTCATCTCCCCGCTCCCAGAGGGATGGGGAGGGGAATCAGAGGAATGTAACTCCCACGGGTTGAGATAACAGCACTCCAGTAACTAAGGTATAATACAAACCACTGCTGCTACCAATAATAATGATAAGAGGAATAACAAGGGGAGAGGACACAACCGCTCACCACCCGCCGACCGATACCCAGCCCGACACGAGCAGCGATCTGGGCCTTCCGGGTAACTCCCCCCAGTTGATATACTGGGCATGACGTGCTGTGGTATGGAATAGCCCTTTGGCCAGTTTGGGTCAGGTGTCCTGTCTCTGCTTCCTCCTGGCTTCCCCCCCTCCCTGGCAGAGCATGAGACTGAGAAAGTCCTTGGTTGGAGTAAACATTACTTAGCAACAACTAAAAACATTGTTGTTATCAGCGTTGTTCCCAGACTGAAAGTCAAAAACACAGCACTGCACCAGCTACTAAGAAGGAGAAAAAATGACTGCTATAGCTGAACCCAGGGCATAGAATAAAATAATTACATAAAATCTTCCATCCTTACTAGTGCTTTGAAGACTGCTGTCTTACTGTGAATGGTTTCTTCATCTCAATCCTGTTCTTCTGAGTAGAAGTCAAGGATTACAGCAAATCAGCTCTCTCATCTCCCAGAAATGAACATGCACCAAATGAATGAATACCCGCTGCTGTCAGGAATAACTTCTGATGAAGTGTAAAACAGCTTCAAGTATCACTAATTTCACAACAAACTTCTAGTTCTGTGTAGCTGCCATGGGAACCTTTTGTTCCATTTTTCTGTATTTCAGTCTGGCTTTGTGGGCTTAAAGGTCAATGAAAGCTATGAAATTTTGCAGTCTTTTGTATCATTAGCTCATACTTTCTTCTTGCTCAGTTCAAGGTAGCTTCTGCTTCAGGAATTTTTTACTCTGAATCATTGCTGGTTTTTTTTTTACTTGACCTTCATTTTTTTATCATTTCTGCTGTGTATAGACTTGGCTTTGTGTCTTATCCTTTTAATGTCTCTTCAGAGCTTCTATTTTCTCATTCTGAGCTGTACCTCAGCTAGGATTTGGGAATAAAAAATTGTCTGCTCAACTTTTCACTTACGCCATATTTTTGCCTACTGATTCTTCCTTATTTTCACCTTTCTTGAGGGATAGGGTCTAGCTAGTTTTTACACAGCTTGAAGGAATACCTGTACGCAAGTGTCTGTCATCAACAGTAGTGTGTTTTATTCATGATAGCTTCAAATGTGGTTGGTTTCCCAGCACCTTTCTGTCCTTTCCAGGAGCTATTGGATCTCTGCTTTTGCTTTTAATGCAATTCAACCGTGTTCTTCTTTCTTTGTAGACTGTTCCAAAATGACAGCATACAACTTTCCATTCTCCTGGACTACTCTACTGTAACAGTAATAAGGGGAAACAGAACAGTTTATATGCGCTAAAACTACATGAGGCAAAATGTTTTTGCTTGTAGACGTTTCCACATGCAGTATAATTTTCTGTATGAAAGTAGTAATTACTGTATCTGTAGCTCTGATAGAGTTTCATTAGACTAAACTAATACTATCAATATAATATAGTTAACTAAATTGCTTCATTTAATCCTACTTCTAGTGCAGTCATGGTGTCTACCCTTAGAAGAAACTGACTGTAAAGCCTAATGCCTGGCACGCTTTTTACAAGCAACACTTCTCTAGGGATCCAAAAAAATATTGGTATTCTTTCTGTTTTATATATACTTTCCTTGAGGATATAAGGAGGTTAAAGAAGTAAGGCACTGGTCTGTCTTTGACAGACTATTCCTGGTCTTAATGTGACATAAAGGGCTAGCATTGCATTCTTAGACAGTCCTGCACTAGCAAAGAGATAAAATCTTTTCAGGAGAAGCAAGATAGATGTATTGTCAGTTATTTATCATGTCTCTCCCAGATCCAGCCATAGGGCAGGCTGAGAGCAACAAGCAAAAGACCATGTAGGACTAAGAAAGTTACAGCCCTTTCACACACAGTTTTCTCCCTTGCTCCCTCTGAACTGGTATGATTTTTTATCAATATATCCTCTCCCAGACATCTCTCCCAAGATGGGGGATGTCCTGTCCTAAACCAAAAGCTTTGTGCCACCACTCCTGAATATTCCTTGTTGTTTAGTCCAAAAAGGAATTAGTTTTGATGCAAATACTTTATTTTGTATGTATAAAAACCAACATTTCTTGGAGCCCTGGAAAGGCAGTGCAGGACGACTGCCAGGAAGAAGGCTCTACAAGTCCAAAAAGCTTCAGGAACATCTGTTGTCATCACCCCAGAAACTCTGGAGGTGATCTTATCTGCAATGACACATCTGAAATGACTTTCAGGATATGCAGCTCTTTGAAGACGATCCTTTCTCGTTTCCCGACAGAATTAATGTTATGTCTGCCAAACTTAATAGACTCTGTTTCCTTTTACCTATATATAATAAAAGCTGTCAGCTGTTAAGCGATCAAGGTATTTGTGGTGGGTGGACACTGGCTGGTTGCAAGACCCCCACCCAGCTGCTTTCTCACTCCCCCTCCTCAACAGGACAAGGAAAGAAGGTCACCATAAAGACAGGAGGATCACTTACCTGTTACTGCCAATCGGCAAAACAGACTGAATTCAGAGAAAATTAATTTATTGCTGGTTAAAATAGAGTACAAAGGTGAGAAAGAAAAACTAAAACACCCTCCTACCTCTGTCCCCATTTTTCCTAGGCTCAACTTCACTCCTTCATTCCCAACTCTTCTACTTTATTCCCTCCTACCCCCATGAGGAGTACGGGGAGATGGGGAATGAGGCTTGTGGTCTGCCCCTTACAGCTTCTCTCTGTTGCTCCTTCTTCCTAACACTTTTCCCCTGCTACAGCACAGGTCCTTCTGAGTCTTCCAGGATAAACCCGCTCCAGTGTGGGGTTTCCACAGGTTGTAGTTCCTTCAGGAAATGTCCACCTGCTCTAGCATGTATATGATAACGTAGATGAAGCTCTTACTTAACAAAACTAAAGAAATAGCTAGAAACCTAGTAATAAGAAGATAATACTCCTAAAAGAAACAGAAAGTGCCTAATATCCTGAAAAGCAAGCAAGAAATTTTATTACAGTGTAATAAAACCCAGCATCTTGTATCATTTACAATAGATTCAAGGGAGAAATGAAGGAGATGGGAAAATGTATTGTACTAGTGAAGGTTACCCCTTTCACCTGAGGTCTTAGCATGGAAATCTGAGGCTATGCCCCTGCAAGAGTATAAGATAAAAATAAGACCAGTAGTAAAAGACAGTTTTATATCATTTACAGAGGAACAACTGATTTTGTGATAATGAAAATAGGTTTAGCCTAAAGTTGAATGTAATATAGAGTGACTACAGCTCATTTAAGAGTTGGATTCTACCCAAAGATAAATGGATACATTCTTTGGTAAGCAATGACATACGTATCTTAAAAAGAAAACTGGTTGCCCAGATTCGTCTGAATTGTTCTTAGCTTTTAAAATTGGTAGATATGAAGAGCAGGCTAGATGGGATAGACCTTTACCTTAGAAAAACAGTATGTGCTTTCCCCTTTTCTCTTCATTTGCCCCAATTTTGCCAGTATTCCTGGTGAAGTACTAATACTAGTAAGGCCAAGCAACCCAGCCTGCATACTGGGTAGTTTAATGGGCTGGGATAACTGCCCAAATCATTATGCCTTGTCAGCCTGAGCATGCTCCTTCCACCACTGTGGCTGTTGCCAGTTTAGTAGTGCCTGCTCTTTACTTGGCTCTGCTCCCTTTTCTGTCATCTGTCAGTGGTTCTCATCTGGCTAAACAGTAAAATTTATTATGCTGCCTCTTCTCTTCCTGGTTTTGTTTCCCCTCTTACTCTTATCCTTCCTACTTTGCCTGTCATGCCCTAAGCAGTGTGTACCCCAAACAGGCCTAATTCTTTCCATCAACAACTCTGACCAGTTCAGGTATGTGAACCTATGTCAGAAACAAAGTTCTGCCTAGAGTGTCCCAAGATGTCATATTCACTCTCTGAGGACAGATGTGCAAGATGTGTGTGGGTTTTGCTTGCAAGTGTCCTCATCTTACACCTCGTGTCCCTGTAACTCCCTATCTACCCAGCCTGCTCCAAGGTCTGGTGGTATGGAAATGATTTTTTGACTCCAGTACAGGTTACTCACAAACAGAAGCTCAGCCAGAGGGTCCCCTCTGGTGAGTTATCTTGGATAAGAATGACAGCCAGACCTCCTGCTAACTGCATCTCTGCAAAAATGATTGAATGCTGTGTCTCAAGCCAAATGGGTAGCTGCTGCTGGCACCATTAAAGACTGTCTGTACAGAATATTACTGTATAAACTGGCTGTCCACTGCTTTCCTGCTCATCTCACTTCTGTGCTGGGTTACGTTGCAAAATGCTCTTGCAGAAACCTTGCTCGTGGAAATCTTATGTGGAAAAGTAACATGCTTGCAGGTACCTCTGGAAACAGGATTTGCCAAAGCTGAAGATGGAGAAGGTTCACTAAGGAATAGAGTTTGCCACATTGTGGCTATCTTTGTGTATTCAGCTAGCAATAATAGTAAAACGTAAGTGAAACGGTAGGGTTGTCTGGTCTTTAGGTGACCTGAAGTTCTCTGTACCTTTGACCTGGAATAAATGTAGTTTGGAAGTTCTAAGAAGGCCTGGAGTAATTTTTCACTGTCTTTAGCTCAGAGATAAATATCAGCCAAGGTCTTTACTACTCTGCTTTGGCCCAGTTTTAGTGCATAACCCAATAGTTGAAATATTTAAAACATTCTACAGGCAAAAAAATAGAGGCCAGAGGAAAGTGTGCAGGCTTTCAAGAGTGTTGGAATGTACTGGTTAGGGAAAG